AAGTTAGGGAAAGACAGGCCTGCTTGTAAGATGGAAATGGTGAAAGCTGGAGTGATTGAGAGCATACTTGACATCCTCCATGAGGCACCCGATTTTCTCTGTGCTGCTTTTGCAGAACTGCTCCGAATATTGACCAACAATGCAAGCATAGCTAAGGGATCTTCTGCTTCAAAAGTGGTTGAGCCCCTTTTTATGCTGCTAACAAGACCAGAATTTGGACCTGATGGGCAGCATAGTGCACTGCAGGTTCTTGTCAACATTTTGGAGCATCCACAGTGTCGTTCTGACTATAGGTTGACATCCCACCAAGCTATTGAACCAATTATCCCCCTGCTTGATTCTCCTGCTCCTGCAGTACAACAGTTGGCTGCTGAGCTTCTATCACATTTACTCTTTGAAGAACAACTTCAAAAGGATTCAGTGACTCAGCAAGTGATTGGTCCTCTCATACGGGTTCTTGGCTCTGGTATACACATATTGCAGCAGAGAGCTGTGAAGGCCCTTGTTAGTATTGCGCTAATATGGCCAAATGAAATTGCTAAAGAGGGTGGTGTCACTGAACTGTCGAAGGTGATATTGCAATCAGATCCATCTCTTCCTCATGCTTTGTGGGAATCGGCTGCTTCTGTTTTATCAAGTATTCTGCAGTTTAGTTCTGAGTTTTATTTGGAAGTGCCTGTTGCTGTGTTGGTAAGGTTGCTTCGTTCTGGCTCAGAAAGCACAGTAGTTGGTGCATTGAATGCTCTTCTGGTACTGGAAAGTGATGATGCAACCAGCGCAGAAGCAATGGCTGAAAGTGGTGCTTTAGAGGCCCTTTTGGAACTTCTCAGATCTCATCAGTGTGAGGAAACAGCTGCAAGGCTGTTGGAAGTATTGTTGAACAATGTGAAGATCAGAGAAACTAAGGCTACCAAGTCTGCCATAGTACCATTGTCTCAGTACCTCTTGGATCCGCAAACCCAAGCTCAGCAAGCGAGGTTGCTAGCAACTCTAGCTCTTGGTGATCTCTTCCAGAATGAAGGCCTTGCTCGAAGTACTGACGCTGTATCTGCTTGCCGTGCACTAGTAAATGTGCTTGAAGACCAACCTACTGAAGAAATGAAAGTTGTAGCGATATGTGCTTTGCAAAACCTTGTGATGTACAGTCGGTCCAATAAAAGAGCCGTTGCTGAGGCTGGTGGTGTTCAGGTTGTGTTGGATCTGATTGGTTCAAGTGATCCAGAAACGTCCATTCAGGCTGCAATGTTTGTTAAACTTCTCTTTTCAAATCATACCATTCAAGAGTATGCTTCTAGTGAGACAGTAAGGGCTATTACTGGTAAGTTCTCTTTTTAAATGGTGCTATACAATGTCTGAGATAGTAGAACCCCTAGGTCGATCATCACTGAATCAGATTTCTTTTTCCATTTTTAAAGAAGAATCTAATAAGATTTTTGTCGTGTCATAGCTGCTATCGAAAAGGATTTATGGGCAACTGGAACTGTGAATGAGGAGTATCTGAAAGCTCTGAATTCTCTTTTTAGCAATTTCCCACGTCTTAGAGCCACGGAACCTGCAACGCTAAGCATTCCTCATCTTGTTACATCCCTCAAGACAGGGTCAGAGGCAACTCAGGAAGCTGCCTTGGATGCACTCTTTCTTCTTAGGCAAGCCTGGTCAGCATGCCCTGCGGAAGTTTCTAGGGCTCAGTCAATCGCTGCTGCCGATGCAATTCCCTTGCTGCAATACTTAATTCAGTCCGGCCCACCTCGGTTTCAGGAGAAGACAGAATTTTTGTTACAATGTTTGCCAGGGACGTTGGTGGTCATAATCAAACGTGGAAATAATATGAAGCAGTCAGTGGGAAACCCTAGTGTTTATTGCAAGATTACACTCGGCAACACTCCACCTAAGCAAACTAAGGTAAAATGCCTTAAATGTGCTTACCACTACCTTTTCTTTCCTATTCTTAAGAGATTTGAATCTTCTTTTGGATAATCTTCTTCTGAATTCATCATTCATTTGCATGCCACATAGAACGCTTGATTATGTCACCATGAATGCAAGACTGCAGCCAGTCTTTACAATGCGTATTCAAGAAGAAATTAAGTTTATTTTATTTATTCTTAGGATTAGAACTTAGGGATTTAATAAGATAATTAGTTTTAGTTCATCAATTTTTCCTGGTTGTTAATTTGAATAGTCTTCCAGATTGGTTGAGGATTAGGATCTTGGTTGAATTTGTGGGTCATGTACTGTATATTAAACACAGTATCTTCTGAAATTATTGCAAGAACAACAGAAATATTGAAATTTTGTGGATAGGTTATGTTTACTGGAAACGTATTGATTGTATTTTTTTGGAGATGGTTATGCACATTGTGTCTCTTCTGTGTCTGCAGTGATATTTGGCCTGATATCGGTATTAACTTCTCACCATGAATTTCTGAACTTTTCAGGTTGTTTCAACTGGCCCTAATCCAGAATGGGATGAAACCTTTTCGTGGTCCTTTGAGAGTCCCCCGAAAGGCCAGAAGCTCCACATATCTTGCAAGAACAAGAGCAAAATGGGAAAGGTAAGTGAACAAAGAAATTGCCAACATAGAGACACTTTTCTTTATAATAATAAGATATATTTTCTCAGCTGATCCTTTATTCTTGTTCTACCTAGTAACTGGTAACCAATTATCTTTTGATATATTGACAGAGTTCATTCGGAAAAGTTACCATCCAGATTGATCGGGTAGTAATGCTGGGAGCAGTTGCCGGTGAGTACACTCTGTTGCCAGAAAGCAAAAGTGGGCCTTCACGGAATTTAGAAATAGAGTTCCAGTGGTCTAACAAGTAACAACCTCATATGGAGTTTTTGTTATTCTTCTGAAAATTGAATTATTAGAGGAAAACATTTTCAAAAAGGGATTCATTTTTTTCTTCTTTCTTTTCATTCTGGATTATTTGTCATGTCAATGTACATAATATCCCAAAGATTTTGATTTTTGCCAACAGTCCAGTAAGTAGTCATTTGTGAATGTATTCTTTTATAACCTGTGGGAAAGATGTAACTTTCTTGTGTGCTTTGTCAATGTTAGAGGAATAATGAAGTTGTTTATGGGTTTTGGGCTAGTTCATATGTTAATGTATTATTTGATGGATAATAAATAGTAATGATTAATGATTTGTTCACTTTATCTTCTTGTATTTTCCTCCATCTCGACAAAGGACTAAGGTCCAACATTATTTCTCTTTGTGGATCCACATGGAATGTGGTCTTGTAAAGTCATGGCATGTGGTCTCGATTGTTTCATCAATCAAAGTTTCATTAGGAAAGATTATGATAAGGGAATGGTTCGATTTCTTTCTTTCAATGTAATAATAAAAAAATAAAAAATAAAATGGGCTGAAGGCTAAACCTACAAGACGGGGCAAGCCCAACAAAAAATATCATCTAAGCTACCTTCCTCTCCATAGTTTAAATTAGATTAAATTAGAATATGGTTTGTGTAAAAAAAAAATTTAATATCATATTATCATCTAAACTAGCAACTCACAATCACAAGAAGGAGGAAGCTTCAAAAAACTTGGAGCCCCAAATCTAAGAAATGACCAAAATTTGGCAGCTCCATTGATATAAAGAAGAGTCTATTTCAAAATTATTGTTCTACCTTATGAAATACAAGTTATTTATGGAGAGTTTTAAATAACCATGTGAGCAAGTTTTTAATGAGTCTGAGACTTGATGGCTTACCATGTGAGCCAAATTAGACTGCAATTTCAGTTTGCCAAGTGATTAAAACTTGAGTTCTGACGGACATTGATTCAAGAAATTGCAAGGGAGAAAAACTATGCTATCACCGGCCAATAATATTATGTCATGTGAAAGTATTATCACTCTGTCATAGTGTTATTGGTCGGAAATAGCAAAAATAGGGTTATTCCTTTTTCATGGAAGTCTTTCTCCCTGCAAAAGGCTTATAAATGGGTTAAAACCATTTATCACTGCATCTAATGTCCTAGATTCAATTCCCCATTGCCATCATATAACTACTATGAGCATCCAAACCACCTAAATTACAAATCTCTTGCAAATGTATGTATTGTAATAATATAAGTAGTCACATTTTAGCTTTCTGACCAAAAAAATGTCACATCTTTCCTATATTTTATGAATCTGAACAGGTCCAAACAAAAAAAAAAAAAAAAAAAAAACTCGAGTTCTGACGAACATTGATTCAAGAAATTGCAAGGGAGAAAAACTATGCTATCACCGGCCAATAATATTATGTCATGTGAAAGTATTATCACTCTGTCATAGTGTTATTGGTCGGAAATAGCAAAAATAGGGTTATTCCTTTTTCATGGAAGTCTTTCTCCCTGCAAAAGGCTTATAAATGGGTTAAAACCATTTATCACTGCATCTAACGTCCTAGATTCAATTCCCCCTTGCCATCATATAACTACTATGAGCATCCAAACCACCTAAACTACAAATCTCTTGCAAATGTATGTATTGTAATAATATAAGTAGTCACATTTTAGCTCTCTGACCAAAAAAATGTCACATCTTTCTTATATTTTATGAATCTGAACAGGTCCCAAAAAAAAAAAAAAAAAAAAAAAAAAACAAATAAATAAGTACATATTAAATTGAAAAATTTTAAAAACAACAAAAAGGGCATGGAGGAGGGGCCAGCGGTCCCAGCCTACGTGTCAGACATACAGCGTCACCTCCAATCAAAGAACGTCGCTTTCTGTGACACTGCGAGTCTGCGACACGTAAAGACCTCTCACCTCTCACTTTAATTAACAAATTAACAAAGAAATTAATTAACTAAATACTCATAATTAATTATCCTTTTTAAATTTATTAATTAGCTTCGCATTCCCATAGGCCATAGCTATGCGTCTTCCTCGTCCTCTTCCCCTCCACTTTACCTTTCACTCCATTTCAGTCTCTCTTTCTCTCTCTCTCTCTCTCTCTCTCTCTCTTCTCTTCCTCTCTCTTCCTTCAGATCTCAACTGGCGTGCGTGCTTCTGGAGCCTCAGAATGCTCGCGCGCTTACGCTGTCCGCGAGGCTCATACACCGCTTCTCAGAAGAGGCGAAGGCGCTTCGGATTTCGAGAAGCGGAGAAGACCCCAAGGACTTAGGTCGGTGGCCGCAGAAGAACTCCATGGACTACTATCACGTACTTGCAAGCACCGACTTCCAGAAACAAAAGATGAAGCTCGGCTCTCGTCGCCACTTCCAGTTCCTCTTCCCTTCTGAAGGTAGCAACACGGTGTCGTTTGGCAACGACTTCGGCTGGTAAGTCTCTTTCTTACCTCATTTCACTTCGTTTCAAATTTCTTGTTTTCAAGCATAATTGCATAATGTAGAAAGATGATGTATTTTTGTGTGTATTTTAGGTTACATTATACGTGGATTGATATAGGGACGCCTAATGTTTCGTTTCTGGTTGCTTTGGATACTGGGAGTGATCTATTTTGGGTTCCATGTGATTGCATACAGTGCGCTCCCTTATCTGCCTCTTACTATAGTACCCTGGTAGGCCACCTTTCTATGTAATTATGATTCTTTTGCCTTTAGTTTTATGTTCATCGTTTTATTTTCATGCCATGAGCTACTGGAAACTTAATGTGTATCCAAGATTGTTAGAAAAAAAAAAAGAAAAAGAAGAAATTTTTGCATTTTCTTGAGGAATTGAGGCCACTCTCTCCCAACCCGCAAAAGAAAAAAAAGGGGAAATCTGAGGAATTCAATATAGAAGGTCCAGACTCATCAATTGTTGTTGGTTAATGGTCAATGTTTCGTTAAGTAGACTCTGGGTGCCTATGTTTGAGTGAAGTTAGTAAGTCTCTTCTAAGGCTTGGTAACAGGTTTAGCACTTATTTCCAATAATTGATTGGCAGGTGCTCCCTCGTATTTGGGGCATCTATTATGCAGGATAGAGATTTGAACGAGTACAGCCCATCGGGTTCAAACACCAGTAAGCATGTATCTTGCAGCCATGAGTTATGTGAGTCTGGAACAAACTGCAAGAGTCCCAAGCAGTCATGCCCTTACACTGTTGACTACTACACGGAAAATACATCGAGTTCTGGACTACTTGTGGAGGACATATTACACTTTGCAGCTGGTGGTGATGATGGGCCAAACACTTCCATTGAAGCCCCTGTTATCATAGGGTGTGTTTGGTTGATATTTCTTGCCTCATTAATATTTTGAACTAAATGTCAGAAATGGTTCCAGCAAAGATTTAGAAATTTGCTTCTGGCATAATGCAGATGTGGTATGAAGCAAAGTGGTGGTTACCTGGATGGGATTGCTCCCGATGGTCTTTTGGGTTTAGGACTTGGAGAGATTTCAGTTCCTACTTTCCTTGCTAAGGCAGGATTGACCAAGAACTCTTTCTCAATGTGCTTTGATGAGGATGATTCTGGGAGACTATTTTTTGGGGACCAGGGACCAGCTACACAACAATCTACATCTTTCCTGCCTTCAAATGGAAACTAGTAAAAACTATATATGCACTTCTGTTCAATTTACAACTTAAGTGACAGTTACTAAATGCTTGCTAAGCTAACATTCTTGTAGATGCTGAAATCTCCATTGTGTAATCATTTGTTCCAGTGAAACCTATATTGTTGGGGTGGAAGCATGTTGTATTGGAAATTCTTGTCTTAAGCAGACAAGCTTCAAAGCACTTGTTGACAGTGGGACATCATTTACATTTCTTCCAGAAGCAGTGTATGATAAAATTTCAGAGGAGGTACATCTTTTCATTAAATTCCAGTATCTGAGTTTGTTATCTGCATACCTGGTAGGCTGATACCACTTCCGTTCATTGATAGTTTGACAGACGGGTAAATGCGACAATCACCAACTATGCAGGATCTCCTTGGAAGTACTGCTACAATACAAGGTGAATTTCAAGAAATTATAAGCTTTGAGAATCTCCCGGCCCCACTTACCTCAGTTGTGTGTGTCTGTATCTTATGCCATTGTTCTGGTGGTTTTTCCTAGAACAGTTCTCAAGATCTTCCCAAAGTGCCTTCTGTAACGTTTATGTTCGTGGCAAACAACAGCTTTGTGGTCCATGACCCTGTCTTTCCGATAAACGGTAATCAGGTAGGTAAACTAGCTCTTCAGATTTTTTGAGTGGATGTGAAATAACTTAAGTTTCTTTATTTCTGTCAATATACGTAAAGCTCACTGAGTTCACAACTTAGTAAAGACAAATGGTTCCAGAAGTTCATTTTCATGATGAAAATAATAATATGATATCTGGGCCAGATTGTTGTTAAGTCATGATACACTTTTAATTCAAAATGGTATAGCTTTAATTTTTGTTCAGTGTGGTAAAAATTTGTATCATGATTGTAGTATGACATTTCAAGCTAGCTTGATAGTAGATCATGTAGTATCTTTATAATAAACTAGATGATTAATTTGCTTCTAAAGTGATTTTATTTACGTACAATAAGTGACGACATCAAAAGTCAACTTATGATGTAATTGCTGTTGTCATAGTCGAGAGGCTTTTTCCAATACACTCCATTTTAATTTGAATGAGAATGAACTCTATAAATGCGCTCACTTGTCTAGACATGTCATATCTCTCAGTCAAACAAACCTGAACCTAATCTGTATATCTTCTCATTAGCAGTCCGCTGGTGGTGCAATTTATGTTAAATTCATTAGTTTGATACTTCACTTTCCCATCTTTGGTTGAAGAAGAAATGCTGATGCACTTTAATATCATGGTTATTATACAGTTCTTTTTCCTGCTTATTAATGTTAAACTTTCTGGCTTTGATAATGAGAAGGCATTCTCTTTGTACTTTTATAAAGTTTGTTGGCTTACCACTATTTCCCAAACCTTAAGCTTTCAGATGTGGGGCAACAATTTCTATCTATTATAACACTTTCCTTCACATGTGCCCTTCTCTCCCCAATAGAGCCTGACATGGAATTGCAAGGATTTAACCATACTTTGTACAAGGAATTAGAGTTAGTTCAACAATTGCTAGTTAAAAAGCACTTATGGAACGAATATTTGGTGTTCTATATCGTCATTGACTATTCATGACTTTGTCTTGCCTTAAAATTTCTTCTTGTGATGCCTTGACTTTGTAATTGAGTATTCATGACATTGTTCTGTTCTGTACAATACAATGCGTAACTGATTTTAATGTGTTGATTTTCATCCGTACTGATATACTCTGAACTCTTAATATACATATAGAAAAGATCATACAGGTTACTTTTCATATGTATTTTGTGCCATAAACATTTTTTTATTGATGTTTAGAACAGTAATATATACCGGTGAGAGATAATCACTCAGATAAAATCTTACAGTTTAGGCCTTCCTGGTGCAGGGAGTTGTTGGGTTTTGCTTAGCCATACAGCCGACAGATGGTGATATTGGAATAATTGGACGTAAGCATGAGTCTTCTCTGTAGCAAGAATGCTGCTTAGCTTTTGTTTATTTTTTCCCTGGTAAATGGTTTGTTATTTGAGAATTTTCTTTTGCAGAGAACTTCATGACGGGATACCGGACAGTATTTGATAGAGAGAACTTAAAGTTAGGCTGGTCTCGCTCAAATTGTGAGTTCTCTAGCTTTCTTGAAACATTAGGGATGTTTCCTACTGACTATGTTGTTGTTTGCAATTGGTTGTCCTTATACCATATGATGGGTGAAATATCATCTGTTTGACCTGAAAGTGATATGTCACTAGCTAATTTCGTTTTATTTATCCCAACTGCAAGTTTGTCTGACACTGCTTTAGGCCTAGTTCAAGTCACTGTATTAGGATGAACTAGAAAGTGAAAAGCGCAGCTCTTTGCTGTTGCTGTTTAATTATTGAGGTAGAGCTCTTTTGTCAATAATTACCAATAAACTTTGCAGGCCAAGATTTTAGTGATGCTAAGAGTATGCCCCTAACTCCCTCAAAAGGCACACCACCAAACCCCTTGCCAACAAATGAGCAGCAGAGCACACCGGGTGGCTTTGCTCCTGCTGTTGCTGGAAGAGCTCCCTCAAAACCATCAGCTGCATCAAGTCGGCTCGTCTCATCCCAGTTTTGTTCGTTGAGATTGTTGCCTCTACTGCTTGTATTATTTCTGATCGTCCTCGTCATCTAGGAGGATGTGACCATATATCGTAGATCATTTATGTAGTCTTACATGTAAATGCAGGGTTTTCTTCTCTTTCTTCTCCTGCCCTGAAATACATATATATAGAGCAGGTCTGTAATCCATTGGCGTCAGTTTTTTTCTCTATCATGTGTCATTGGATTGGTTGGGGCTTGTACTAGGGACATGCATTGTATTTAGCTTTTGTTGTATTAATATAATATATATACATATATTATTTTTTTTCTTTTTCCTCTATTTTTACCCTTCATTCTCAACATTTTGCTACCTTTGCCCCCTATTCTCAAGAATTTTACGTGCTATTCTTAGGCATTTACAGAGGCTGCTAAATCACAATTTGACGTGTAAAAATAATTTATCAAAAATGCAAAAGGAAAAATCTCTTTATGCATAGCAAATTGTGATTGGTAGGAAAATAGGATTTACTCATTACGGGGAAGGAGGCAAGTATTTTGCTGTCCAAACTCCCAGTTTTATTGTAATGATTTTTCTGTTGCTTATAGCTTTGAACTGGGCTCTGTAATGATGAAACATGCAGACCATGAAAAGGACTTTAGCAATCTAGCAAGAGATTGCATTAATCTATTCATGTTGTCTTCTTTTTTCTTTTGCCAGCAGAAGTGATTTTAAGTAGATATCATTCAAAGTGAAGACAACCTGGAATCTGTTGAAAACACATAAAGATGTTCAGTTTTGTCATTTTATTGAGTTTTCTGCGTAAAACAATCGTTCATAATTCATTGATGTTGTCCAACGACCAAACCAACCAAACTTGGCTAAGGCGAAAAATAAGATCCACCAAATTGGCCATCAATATGAGTTCGAGTCTTGACCTGTTATGATTATCTTCAAGAGTCCGGAGTAAGTGGTTGTGCGATTATTCTCACAAATTATCCTTAATGAAGAAGCAATCTCACCTATGTAGTTCAATTAAATTGATCAAGTTTTTGGACTCGACTTCTATTGATTTTCGATTGGATTTAAAGTTTTGTTATGTTTTTTTTTATTTGACAAAGTGATATTCTAAACTATTCTAATATACGAGAATGAGTTCAAACTTGAATGCGTGGTGGTAGTCATACCGTCTTATCCAACTTGCCTAACCAACAGTTGCATTGGATTTAAAGTTTTTAAAACCAATTAGATGTTTTTTCTTCTTTTTGGGATCAAGAAGTGATTATATATTTTATTAGGTGCCATAAGTTTGGTGGGATAACATAAGTTTTCTCTTGGCCACTTGATTATTTCTTTCTTATCCTAATCTCAAACCCAAATTTTCCGCTCAAACTTGGTGATGTTTATCTAAGTTGCATTATATGTAGGTTAAAATTAAAAAAGAAACTTCTGTTTCTTCTGATTGGTTTAAGGGTATGCTAAGTTTTTTTTAGCACAAGGGATAGTCGAAACTAAAAGGGAAGGAGAATTTCTCACACAAACACAACTAAGATGCCATGGCGGTTCGAACTTGAGACCTCTTGTCTGCAAGTCAAGACCCTTTTTCACTGGACTAGACCTTGTTGGTGACAATGCTTATTTTTTTTAATTAGCAAACCAATCATCAAAACTGATCAATGTTTTAGAACTATATTGAAGTAGAATGGCCATTAAAATATTAGAGTAGATAGAAAGCCTTCAATTGCCGAAAAATGGTGCCATCATAATCTAGTCCAATTATAATCAATGTACTTTAACCATACCAGCAAGCAACCCAATACCATCTCCTTTTTGGCCTTTACGTATACACCGTACACGTGTGGATGTTCACTTTCGTACTGTTGTGATTTCTGTCGAGAGGTCTTTTATTTTATTTTAGTTAAATTATTTTAGCTTTTTCAGTGGGGCATTTAGGAGGGTTTTGGACTGTATCATATCTTGGATGAAAGAATTCTTCAATGCAGGTAAAGTTTATGCTTTTTTTCAGGCTTTATTTTCTCTAAAAACTGTGTGCAAGGGGATTTACAATAAAGCCCAGCCTTATGAACGTGGTAAAGCTTTGCACAATCAAAGACAAAGACAAACATGCTCAAGGATGCTTAAATATATCTAGAAACTAAGATCCCTGTAGCTCATAGGCTAGCACGTTATGCCGTGGGATTAAATCATGTTGTTTTGATGGCGGAACCGCCTGATTTGCTTGCGGATCTTTTGATCCAAGATTATAATAACCTTTAGTGTTTTCTTCTAATACAATTTTGTTTCTCCTCACCTTATGTATTTGAACTTGAATCTTCTGTCATTGAAGAAAAGAAATATCACCTTCTGTATAAAGAAAAACGAGTAAAGGAAACATGAAGCCTTTGGCATTGCTAAAATCCAACGATGTTACCTTCGAACGAAAAACATAAAATTGGTATACACATATTAATATGTACTTTTTTGCTTTCTTTTTTGTTGTTTTCTTATGTTAAGCACTAAATCAATTGGTCTTGTTTGAGAACAACTTTAGATGGATCTTAGTAAAGAAAATATTTAATCCTTCTTATCATAGCACCATCTAAAATGTGAGGGGGTTCGACGTCTTTTTTTTTAACTTTTACACAGATTTGTTCATTTTACAAAGCAACTAAAGTTGGAACTGTTGGCGAGTAGAACATATCCTATTCTATTTGGGTTTTATTTATTTTTTCCTTTTGTGTAGATATTATGTAATTAGGATTCCACTTATTTCCTAATTAAAGTTGGAACCTAGCACGAACATTTAGCTTTTGATAAGCATAATGAAATTTAATTAGAAGATTTTCGCGATTTGATTGCCAATCACATTCCTATTGTGATATAGAAACCAGGTGGAATCAAAATTAAAAAAAAGTAGGGTTCAACATTACATGATTATTAGAAAATTGAGCACAGTTCGGTTTGACATTAGTTCGAGTCTGATTATCCCTAAATCCAATATGAGTTTTTCTATTTTACTTGCT